CAGCCGCCGCTACTCTATTTTCGGATAAATGACAGAGTGGTCGAATGTGCCATACTTGAAATATGGTGTGCCTTTCCGGTACCATAGGTTCGAATCCTATTTTATCCGATTTAATAAACTATAAGAGACAGACAATATATAATTAAAAATTATGGCATAAGCATCCTCTACATTTTCCCGATCATAAGTTGGGGGAAGGAGGGCACAACTGTGCCGTAACTAGAGGAGTACCATAAGCTAACAGCTGCCTTGATTAATTCAAGGACCCTAGTAATAATAGCCATTATCTATTATTGTCTGATTCTATAAAATTCTTTAATTATGCAACTATCACGAGCACAATTCCAAGCACATCCTTTCCACTTAGTAACTCCATCACCATGGCCGTTACTAACTTCATTCTCATTACTAATCCTAACTATGGCCGCTGCAATGTACTTCAACGGAGTATCTAACGGTGGATTCCTTGTTATCATCGGATTCATCACAACTGTGAGCTCAATGGCTCTATGGTTCCGAGACGTTGTAGCAGAGGGAACTCTATTAGGAAACCACACATTTGCTGTACAAAAAGGTCTTAACCTTGGTGTAGCATTATTCATTATCAGTGAGGTATTCTTCTTCATCTCAATCTTCTGGGCTTCAAAGGAAGTGAGCCTAACCAATTAAACTATATGCCAGGAACATTCATCATTATAAGTACTAATTACTAGTGACAATCTTATAAATAGGAATCTACTAGCAGTTAATAATAACTCAAAGACTACACGTTTAGGTGATGACGCTTCATCACAAAATATAGTCTACATACAATTATCGACTTCCATTCGTCTATGCATTTGTCTAATTTATTTGATCATACAGTGATCCTGGAATCTTCCGCTATGCTAGTAACTCAATATTTTTCAGGGAATAAGCCTCGAACTCTTTCAGAAGAGGTATTGCCTATGCCCTCTGAGGACCAGAAAGGTGTACTGCCTCGATTGGCTTACTCGGCACTAATGGGATTACTTAGCAGTAGTGGGGCAACCTTACTTAAAGGCCCTAACAATTGGCATTTTCCACGGTCTACTGTTCTTAAATTGTCTTCTACGGATGTAGTATTCCTTCAGTGACTAATGGATTTCTTTGCTCCTTACTTAGAGTGGCACCCTATTCGTCCTACTTCAATCAACGGAGCATCGCGATCTTTAGCAGGTGTAAGCCTGGATTCATTTTACCTTTACATCTTACGGATGCACTGGCAACACGAGGGTTTACACTTACTTCCAATTCATTTTGAGGAGTACTTTGACTGGGTCACATTAGCATTTTGAGCAATGCGAAATGGTCAGTGGATTAACAACCGCTTCGTAATTGGAGTATCTCCATTAGACTCGGCTGAACGACAACGGTTAATCGTTGTATTGAAGTCCAAACTTGATTTGGATTCTAAGCTAGTTATGGGAGGTAAGAAACTCGCAATTTCCGATCCTCAACGTGTGGTAGATCACATTTCACCATACTTCCACACCAGTCAACTCCACCGATTAAGCAAAGTTAGTCGATAACACATAGACTTCCACTCAGCATTAGCTCCTACTGTAGAGTTAGGAAACGCATGGCCTCCAGCAGGTATTGACCCTCTTAACCCATTCGAGATCCCATTACTTAACACTGTTCTACTTCTTTCATCAGGAGCAAGTGTAACTTACGCACACCACTCATTAATTGAGGGTAACCGACGAGGAACAATCCTAGGAATCATCATTACAGTTGTACTAGCTGTTATCTTCACAGCTCTTCAAGGATTAGAGTACCACGAGGCGCCATTCACTATTGCGGATGGAGCATACGGGTCAACATTCTTCTTTGCAACTGGATTCCACGGTATCCACGTTATTATCGGTACACTATTCATCGCGGTAGCATTCTTCCGAATTCTATCATACCACCTAACAGACCACCACCACTTAGGATTCGAGGCTGCTATTCTATACTGGCACTTCGTTGACGTAGTTTGGTTATTCCTATACATTTCAATCTACTGGTGGGGATCTTAGTTCACACGCCTTTTTTCTCCTCGGACAAGCCCGAGGTTATTAACCCCCTTTTTATAAAATAAACAGAAAAGAAATTAAACATATAAGAAACTTACAAAATTGAGGGTTTAACAATCCTTTATATTATATTCCTATTTTCGAAACATGTTTGAAAAGGCTAAGTAACACTAGTGCTTATTATTTGCTATTACTTGTATTTCTCTTATATGTTTTCATTAAATAGAATCATGGCTTTTCCCTGTCAAAAGGGCGGGAAACTAAAAGGGGATTAACCCAGCTACTCGCTAGAATCGTAAGCAGCGGGAAATGTGTCATAAACTATAGCTATAAATTATAGTTTAGTAATGTACATTCGTGTTACAAATAGCTCAACGAAGGCTGGTAAGATGTAAGTTCCAAATACGTAAACTAGAGTGATTAGTACTAGGAATGCGAATGATAGTTGGTTAATGAAGTAGAATGGTAATAGTTGTGGCATGATTTAATTAGTTGATTTAGCTTTAACATTGATATGTTAGCCTTAGCGCCCCTGCTAGCAGGGGCGAGTGACTCCTAATATTGGAAATAGAAAGGCAGTAAGCGTGCCTCGTCTGGTTTGTTATACTTTGAAAGCTTATAACCAGATGTATACTGCTCCTTTTTTGGTTTTGGGGAACCCAAAACAGCCGGAGCCTCTAGTATACGGTTTGAGACTTGGTGTTAGAATTTGTTAAAAAGGGGGGTTAATTACCACTGCTTTATTGAAAAGCCTACAACAGTTTGGCACTATGATTGTACAGGTAGTGTGTTGTATGAGTGGAATGGCACTGGGCTAGCTAGAGTCCACTCTAATGAGTGAGCGTATTGTGGTCCGCTTAAGAACTCTGGAGTACTTGTGAAGAATTGTGGTACTGCCCATGGGTTGTTTGAAACGGCTTTACCGTGTACAAATTGATCCCAAATGATGTAAAGGAAGATAGCTGTAGCTACCACTGAAATGATTGAACCGTAACTTGAGATAAGGTTCCATCCCGCAAAAGCGTCAGGGTAGTCAGGGATACGCCGAGGCATTCCCGCCAGTCCAAGGAAATGTTGAGGGAAGAATGTAAGGTTACAAATGTTATTCTTTATTAGGCAATAACATTCAGACTATATCATCTAAGTCATGACGGACGCTTAGTGTATTGTGTAGTCGTTGAGGTAACATACCAACTGATTCTAGAATTAAATATTTAGCTATTCCCTTATTTAAGGTGTAAATTATTGCTAGTTCCAGTTTATAAATACATTATGGTGCTAATACGTTAACACCAACGAACATAGTCCAGAAGTGGATATGTGCTAATTGCTCGTTGTAAGTTTTACCAATGATCTTAGGTCCCCAGAAGTAGTATCCAGCAAACATTCCGAATACAGCTCCCATTGAAAGAACGTAGTGGAAGTGAGCCACAACATAGTATGTGTCGTGGATTGCAACGTCTAATGAAGCGTTAGCAAGGATAACTCCTGTAAGACCTCCAATTGTGAATAGTGCAATGAATCCTAATGCGAATACCATTGGAGCAGTGTATCGTAATGATCCACCGTAACATGTAGCTAACCATGAGAAGATTTTAATTCCTGTAGGTACAGCAATAATCATTGTGGCAGCAGTGAAGTAAGCTCGAGTATCAACGTCAAGTCCTACAGCGAACATGTGGTGACTCCAAACGATGAATCCTAAAATTCCAATACTGAACATAGCGTAAACCATTCCTAAGTATCCGAATACCGGTTTACCTGAGAATGTTGCAACTACGTGTGATACGATTCCGAATGCAGGGATGATCAGAATGTAAACCTCTGGGTGTCCGAAGAACCAGAACAGGTGTTGGAATAGGATTGGGTCTCCTCCTCCAGCAGGGTCGTAGAATGAAGTGTTGAAGTTACGATCAGTTAATAGCATTGTAATACCTCCAGCTAAAACAGGTAGTGATAGTAGAAGTAGAATTGCTGTAATGAAGATCGCCCAACAGAATAGTGGAAGTTTGTGCATTGACATTCCTGGGTGTCGCATGTTTAGGATTGTAGTGATGAAGTTCATTGCTCCTAACATTGAACTAATACCAGATAGGTGTAGACTGAAGATAGCTAAATCAACAGATCC